ATGGGTAATAATAATACAATAAGCTACGGGTTTAAAGTCGTACTGTCCTCTGCGATCAGAGTGTATTTTCACTAATGACAAGCATGTGCCTCGCCGAGGAACGAAGAAATCACCTCTAGAAAACAGAAAACTGATCGCCCAAAAGTTGACCGTGACCGCCGGCGCATTTTTAAAAACAATATAGTCTGATGCCGCTCCAAAGTGCATGTGGCGTGTCTTTTAGCGTGAGACAGTAATGTCTTACTTCACCCAACCTCGGGTCGGGCTAGCCCCTTGCGGCGAGCAGATCAGTTTTTAGGCCACCGATCCAAGGGAACTATCTACAGAGGAGACCCTCCTGTCAGCTGTCTAGTGGGCAAAGTCTAGAAGTTTTCCCGAATAGATACTTACACTCTTCCACGGTGAATTTTGAGTCAGAGACTCAAGTTTGGGTACTCCAAAAAAATTCTCCTTTCAGCTAATCTATGCCTCGTATTCACCAATCAGCAAGATTCTTTCTATATGGCAGCTTTAAGCCTCCGTAAATTGCGTCAAAATTACAAACCAGTAATCCTTGACCAGACACTATACATTCTTAGAATTGATGTGTGCTGTCGATCTAATCGTGGTCATGCATCTTAAAACACCGAGAAGAAACAACCTTTCACATTTAACTACCCAAATGTCCGGTGGTCAAAGAGCGAGTATTCGCGAAATATGTAACGTGGGGTTGCCCTCCGCTGAACTAGATTTCGCTAAACGGTGGCCTTTGAGCTACTCATCTATCCAGAGATTATTCGTCAAGCAAAAAGCACTGACATTAAGGTCCTTGCGGGTGATATGAATGCCCGGTTTGGTACCCCGAGCTTCTTTAAATCACCTCTGGGTAGTCGACCTGGAGTCGATATTTCTCACACAGACACAGGAAAGCGAATCTTTCAGTTATGTGCTGGTAATCTGCTGTTTCTGGTCAGTACGAATTCTTGATCTAAGCGTTCGTATTATCAAATATCGTCGTGTAATTCAACGATGGACCAAAAAGTACCACTTGGTTAACGGTCACCCATGGAGAGCCATAATCAAAGACTGCCGTTTCCTCAGAAGCACATCAGTCGATTGCGATCACGTGGTTATGCGGGCATGCCCCACAGTTAACATTCACATAGGCCCTTACTAGTCACCTAGACATATGCCAATCCACCACTTGAGGTTAAGCCGTATCGATCTGAACTAGTTCGACTACTTTCTACTGTATCTGAATCACTTTATTAGTACAGAGTACGTGGAAGAAGCATATCAACATTTGAAGGTACCTATGTCAGCGACACTCAGGGCTCCTCGTGCCAATTTCTCCGGTGCGATCAAATGGTCACTAGATAACATCGAGACCGGCAGTAATGAGTGCTTTCAGAAAATTTATACCAGCTGGTAACAAGTACAAAGGTGCACGCAAAACTTTCAAAAGCTAAATGATGAACGGATCATAGCAACAATGCGATATTTGGTGGAGAATGAATCCTCAGAAGTTTGAGATAGCCTCTGAAACTGGAAATAACCGTGCCCTACACCAATTAGTCTGATCAACTAGCCAGAAGAAAGTGACGGTCAGTGGAACGATAATTGAAGAAGATGGCTCAACAGTCCATTCGTGAAAATGTCCACTGAAAATATGAACCAAACACATTCAACAACAGGCTATCTGGTTTCACGCAACACAACCCTTAAAGATAGTGCGTACAAATGAATGGAATACAAAACGTAATCGCCTGTCATAAAAGGAAATAAAGTATGAAAATATACCTGCTGATTCGTTAGAAGACATGTGGAACGGACGGCCTGTATTCGAACCTCGTCAGAGAGGGTGAAGAATCTCTGGTGAATCATCTGAAGAAAGCGTTTTCCCGCGGTAGGGAGCCAAAGAATGGTCATGAAATAAGACACACCAACAGTCATTCTTGTCTCCAAAGTTGATACACGAATATTGTATGTGTACGACCGTGGCATTAATCTGGTAGCTATACATCGAAAGTCCTCTCTCAGAGAAGCACTTACTTGAAAATCATAGCAAATTCCATCCTGCACGAGAAGGCGCCGATCACATTTTCATCCTCTAAGAGATTCAAGAAGAGCAACCAACAACGGTGTTTGTTCTTGAAGTGGAATCTGTCTCTGACTCTGTGATCCTCAGGTAATCTGACAGTGTCTATGGAACAAAGGTGCATTAGTATGTTTGTATGTCTAACCGAATACGAAATTTCTTTTGGGACTGTGAAGCCCACTTCAGCTTTAGTGAACCTACGTCACCTGTGGCGTAGGCGTGAAACTAACGTATCTGTCAAGGGTCGAGCTTGAAATGCAACGGTTTTTTCCAAACTGATTTATGGGTCAAGAACTTGTCTATGCGGGGCGATAACGTTGTAGGCTTTCAGTGATTCGCGATCGAAGTCTTCTAAGCGGGAACACAGAATCAGTAAAACTGGGGTCCATCGAATGCTTCTCGGTAGAAATAGCTCGCCCACAATGGGCGAATGGATCGCACTCAATATGATGTGCTGGCTTGGTGTTGTGCTCGTATGCCAGGCGAATAGATTATTCAAAGGGCTCCTTTTTGCAAGAACAAAAGAAAGGATTTTTAAAAGCCCTTACCAGGAAGCTCATCTGTGCTGGTCACTGACGTCTCTCTAGTTTGTTCGTTACAGTTCCAATCGTTATTCTTTTTCCTTTGTTTTTCGGTTTGTACGGAAATAAGTGTGAGTTTTCGTGGACAGTAATTATGTGTCCTGTTTTGTGAGCCCATGAAACCTCACGCAAAGTTAACTTCAACCAGCCTGTTGCTGACCGATGAAGAATGTCATCACCTGAGGTTGAATGGAAATCTGTTTTTGGATAATCTTCACTTCATCGAAGAGGAAAGATCCAGGTATAAATGGATGCACGTTAAAAGAGGAACGCTTGGAAATAGACGAGGATATGGTGTCCTCCTTGGGAGGTCGCTACTGCCAAAGATTTGCATAATAAATTGTAGCTAAGGTGAGACTCATCCGAAAACGGTCTGGTAGAGTAATCATTCTTTGGATCGCCCTTCAACTGTGCTTAATTAGTGCACGCGGTTACTTACCCACTAGAAGATGGTAGGCTAATCAAAACGTGATATCTTACCGTTTACCAAGAAGTAGCTCTCCGGATTGGTCCTTAAATGCGCGATTCTGCGTCCAATTGCGAATATTAGTTTGAAAAAGTTGGTGGTAACCGGTGCGCTGGTTCCAAAACAGTGATGTGTCCAAATCGCCCATTCATCCACTGTGTCTAGGGTTTGAATCCCTCCTATTCGGCCTGATTTTATGGAATAAATCTCTCTATGGTTACCTATCCTAACATGTGTTGCGATACAACGGCAGGTAGATTATAATTGGCAGCTCAATTTAGAGTTAAAACGATGGAGGCAAACTACGCGAAAAAAGCAGTTGGTTCTAGAAATGTGACGACATTTTTATGAGAGACTTTGCACTTTTGAACGTCCCTCGCAGAAACAGCGGAAAGCTAGTTTCCTGGCTTACTGATGGCTGTTGGGTCGAGTGGTTTCTTAACAAGTAATAATAACTTGGGGAGGAAACCAGTTGCGCCACACCGAAAGCAAGCAACTCTTGGTAAACTGGCATCTTTTTTGTTCGAATTCAATTTCTGAGGTGACGGTGATTCAGGGGTTTCGACGTGACCTAGTATGTGTTCACTAAACAAACCAAAATAATGGACGGGAGTTGCGGGTGTGCCAAAACGAAAAACGTTCTTCTCAATACAAAGCATCCATATTTATAAGTCCTACGCTGATGTGCGCTCAGTTAGCTTTTCTGACAGAAAGTAGTTGTTACTTGCTCACTTGAGGTGGGATGGGAAAAACCAGGCGCCCGACAATCTGCTCATGCTCACCCACCAGACATCGTAGGCAGTTATCTGAAGTAATTACATAGAACCTCAAAAAGCTAAGACTAGCATAGTCGACAATTTCTGTCTGCCCCGAAACTTGCCTGTCCTGTGGGATTATTGTCTTCTGATCGGGCACGCCTAAAAGATTATTTATGATTACCTATCATAAATACTCCAGGAAAATGATTAGTTTCCGGAGAAAATTGTTCATTCAGTAAACTACTAAAGGACCAGTAGCTTAATGTACCAAAAAGCCCATCTAAAACTTGATCATTTTTATAGAAATACACTCATTTGCGAACAAATTTGGGTTTGCGAGCGACTAATCTGGAACCCAGCTGAATCTCGAGAAATTTTCAACAACATTATGAGGAAGGTATTACGTTGTTCACCGTTACATTATTCTGCAAAGGCAAAAAATCCCATCCAGTCGCCCATTTGAACGCTTATGAATTGTGTTGATTAGATCGAAAGTGGCGAATCGTTACCACCAAGTCGCATGATGTTATAAGGTTCAGTACGTTCTAAGATGTTACGGAACTAGAACAGTTTCCTTCCGGAAACTGTACTGTGATATCTCGAATATCGTGCCAACTGAAACATGAGGCAACCTGTGTGCGGCACATTCAGCTGTAGAATATCATAAACGAGAGATCCAGTTGAGTCTCTCGTGAGAACCAAATTGATTTGCAAATGAGTGCGTTTCTCTAAAACAGGCTTGCTTACCACTTTTCTCATGCAATGTTCGGAAGCGTCGTCCATTGGAGAACAGAGCTGTATGCATCAGTTAGACTGGACATAATCCTCGTTGGTCCGTGAGGTTGTCTGCATGCACGGGCCAGTTTATTCAGGAAGGATAAAGAAGACTATAGGCAGTAACTCAAACACTCGGCTGACAGATTTAACAGTTTTTCACCTTCGACAACGTGCAGTGCGTAAAATTCTCTGTTTCACTTGAACGCTTCGGTTCTCCCTCATCAAAGACGATTCACATTTTATTTGGACTATCAGGATAAGCGGAAATTTCTAAGATACTAACTGCGTAAAATTCTCTGTTTCACTTGAACGCATTTGATTCTCCCTCATCAAAGACGATTCACACTTTATTTGAAGTATCAGGATAGGCGAAAGTTTCGAAGATACTAATTGGGTTGGCGGAAACGGCTTTTGTTGCAAACCCGACCACAGTGAGTGCTGAGAACCGATTGTAATAACTTTTATTCTTTATAACTGTAAAGCACATCACACAATATTTTTACACTATGCTTGTTTTTGTGCTTCTATGTTGTGTCACCCACGACAGTTAGAAACGGTCAGATTTCGGGTTGACAAATGTAATGTTCCAATGTTTTGAAATAAAAACCCTGGTTCTGTCAGGTATACCTTGTGCGTGAACGCGGTATTAACATCTACACAAGGTAGGCGCATTACGTGCGGCAGTCTCACAACAGCCCAGATTTACATTAATCACTTAAAGTTCAGGTGATCGCAATGTCCGAAGCCAGATGTCAGTTACCGAGCTCCGGTTTAGTTGATCCAAACAGTTTAGGTTCTACTTTCCGTTGTTTCCCAGAAGTAACCTCTTTACCACTTATTCTATAGGTTATGCTGCGTTACTTGCCCCACTCCGTTGTAGATGCGAGTACACCTGAGGCGTTTTCACAATGTTTTGTGCCAGATTTCGTAGATTCCATGTGCAGCTGTGACTCCGTTCAGTCTCGAATGATAAGTAGAGGGAGAAACAAGCTAGCGGAGTTACTTAATCAGAAGCGGACTGCGATTGAGGAAGTCAGCAGATCAACACACAGGGCTTGTCTGGTGCCCGTCAAACAACCAGAAAGATATTTATGTGTTCCACTAGATTACTAAACCGAAACGAATGGATTATTTTTGTGGTAGTTGTGAAATTTTCCGTAACACCAACTATGAAGCTCCTTTTTCCCCGGCTATCCACTCGGCTAGAATTCCGTCTCAACGTAACTGTCCTGGTTGGGAAAGGTTTTTTAAAGGAATTTCTGCACAAAACATTGTTGGAGCAATTTGTATTGGCATGATATGGGGGCGACCAAGGATAAAATTTTCACTCTGGCGGTTGGGCTGGCAATGCACTGGTCCCTCTCCTCCCCTACTCCTCAAAATAGGCAAATCTCGGGGATACGACCAATTGTAACCAGTTTCAGGAGATTTGGCTTGAAACTGACAGCTTTTGGGAGAGTACCGCTCGTTCAGGATATCCCTGGGGAGCAACATTTTCACTAGAAAAGTGTCAGGATATCAAAATGAGTGCTCTGAATTTCGATACATTAAGCATCCCAGCTGCGCGTTAATGTACATAACTCATACAGGTTTGTCTCCAGTTTCTAAACTTCTAAACTCCTAAAATAGATCTAATGTGAGGTAGGTTACTGTCCTCAAGTATTAGAGTAGCGTTTTCCGTCAACCACAAATAGTTGAACAGTCTGAAGTTTATTTCGATCATGTGCTAGGCTTTGCCAGCGCGAAAGCAAGTCGTACTCCACGTAAGAAACTTACAAAAATCCAAAGAGCATCTACAAAACATATTGTTCCTATGCATAAAGTAAAGTTGTCAATCTTTGTATTCATGTCATCTCCAAAACCATCTACTCAACATCTCTTAGCAAACAGGACACAACACCATGCTTTTTCTCATTTCCCATGATATACGTGGAAAGTAATGTCGTGCTTAGCCAGAAACGTTCTAAAAGTGCATAGGGGTTTAGATTTGCGCATGTCAGTGTCACCTGTGGAACATACAAAATCACATGATACCTTCAAAGAGGGCCACTCTCGCGAGAACTTTTTCATTGTGTTCCCAAATACTATTCACCCAATTCACATGCATTTGCTGATAGTAGTTCCCAGGAATAATGACAACGATCTGCACACAACAGTGACGTAGGTCTACGTTATAGAGATATTGGTATTTATTTGGCTGGATCTTCTTGATGATTGTGGAATGTTAGTCAGTTTTAAATACCACGCTAGCGCGCCAACACACCAGTGATGCGGCCAGGTGATGTTGACGCGTCTCCACCATAGTGGGGGTAGGATCAAATCAAGACCTACCCTGAGCAAACAAGTCAATACTAAACACAAGAAGCGGAGCCGTATAAAATAAAACGCCTATTGACAAACGAGTGTGCTTGGGTGTCAATAAAGGCATGTTAGCAATACAAAACCTAGTCTATGACGAGTTGTTTGCACACTAAACTGTGGACCAGTGGATTTTCTTCAGCCCTGGATATCTGCACTACCTCTCCAGGACACCTCCTCCAAAATCATTCTTGGTCAAATTTTCTCAAGATCGTAACATTTGTTCCGTCGGTTCACGAGGGTAATGCTTTATCTAATTCCATTAAATATCCTGACTTCGATGACCATGATCACAGCAAAATTATAGGTTGCACGAGGCACCAGGTGGCATTCCGCCAGTGGTTTTTTAACTAATTACTAGTTTTCAGTTAATAGGTGATTTATAATTAACTCATTTCATTATTCACCGCACTGTTTAAATCTTTGTTTTTTATTATTTCAACAGACTACTTGTTCTGTGAGATAATGCTGTTGAGCAAACAAAAATGGTTACAAGTTTTAGACACTTTTTAGACACATTTTGATCTTGTGGCGCAACGCAGAGTGGCGACATTAAGCGGCGTGGTAAACTACTTTAGGATAATAGGTTCTGCCGACTGTGATGCATACTAAAGAAGAACGGTGTCACCGGTTAGTTTGTCAGACTGCACTACGTCTGGCTTCTTGTTCAAAATTCGCGCGCCTGCTTTGAAGAATCAGTAACTTAGCTCAGCTAATCAGTTGCACAGGCTGATCAAGTGGAGGAGTTGACCTAATGAAAACAATTTTTCCGCGTTGCTGCTGGTAGTTCCTCCAGCTATAAAAGGTTTCGATGGAAACATGCACAAATGTATCCGGCAGTTAATTAAGTTTGCTGCGGAAAACTAGAAGTATACAGATGGCAGTGCTTCTAAGATGCGTTAATTCAAATTTGGTTCGATTCAAAATGAAACTTTCATCTGCCGTTATTGTTATGCTAATAATTTTTTTACATCGTTACAGAAGAGCTTGATAAACAACCGGTAGTTTTTATTTGGGCAACGTTTCGCTTTTGACACAAAAGCTTNGACAGCCCATGGCCGGTTTCGCCCCTCTTGGGGTAGGCGCAGTCCCCGAGTTTCCGTCAACCTTATGTTCCACTTGAAGTCAAATTGCACGAGATTAGTGAATATACACTCATTTGCAGACTGATCTGGTTTTTCGAGAGACTCACTTGGAACCCAGCTGAATCTCTCGTTTACGATGTACTCTGATCGGGTTTGGTTCGTTATTCTTCCACTTCAGGGTGCTTCAGTTGATGATTGACCTAGGTTGCCGCTGGTAGATTTTCCCTGACTTTTGTGGGGTCTTGAGTGCTCCGACAATTTAGTTCGATGGCTTGAGGTCAAGTGGAATCCAGATGATGACCAGTCTTCCTTCTTATGACCGCACACCAACACGTGTCAGCTCGAGTGATCTCGGCGGTCTGTTTATTTTTCTACTAGGCGCTCCGACTCTAATACGTAGTTGTGTGTAGTTGTGTAGCTTTCCTGAGGGGGAACACTGCACTATGCACTGGTGCAATTGAAAGGTCGCCTCCCGGCAAACAGAACCAAGGACTGTGTCTACAAAATCAAGTGTAATGACTGCACCACGGTCTATATAGGACAGGCGGTCAGGGAACTACACATCAGAGTCGGAGAGCATAGTTTTCTAACACCAGAACATACGCATAAAAGTTTATCCCATGTTTGCTTTTCCGGACTATTTAATAACAAGTATCGGAAGGCCAGACAATAATAAAAACTGTCAAGTTGAACATATTTTCCTGCGACCTGGAGATATTAGGCCAGTTTTTTTTAACTCCTCGCCTACTTCAACTGCGGCCTTGCCAAGTGTCATTGAAATCCTTCTTAGTAAGCTCAAATCTAATGTCACCCACTGCGGCAGATTGTAAAAAAAGGTCAGTACGGATGCATATCTACCCAACTTGCAAGGTGCCACCAAACTGTACTTCCCCAATCTGAGGAAAGTAGTCAAACAGGGGTGTGTGAGCTTAATGATTACTTGACGTTTATTCAGGAACCAGGTTTTTTTCCCACGCAGTAGTATTGGTTGGAACTCAAGCAACCATTCATGTGGTCAATGGTTTTGCTGGAAACCGTGTTGATGATAAAGCCTGTTGTATTGCGCATTGTATAATGAGCCAAATTAGTGCAGGTCACCGGGTTCACATCTAAGTTCATATTCTTGTGTGATGTCTCTGTAGTTGTATATTCGTAATTTGTACGCTGGGCGAGGGGAGGGCGATGGAGACTTGCTATTATCTGAATGGGATATCGATCTGCACGTATCCAGCGAAAATCCATTATGTTTGTTTATTGCTTTTAGCAAATATATACATATACAATGAAAGCAGTCAGTGTAATTAATTTCCCGCTATCCGGATACGTTTGAATTACTTGGTTATTTGCTGCCTGATTACTAGACGCGTGACAAATGGGCAAATTGGGCAGTTAGTTGCATTATTTCCGACAGTCATGACGGTAGAAGTTCCGTTTCTGGTACAAAACCGGTATGTTACGCCTACGGCAGACTTCATTGGGCAGATGTTAGGCTCAATAAACTTTCCTGGGGACCGAAATATCATTAGAAACTCCTGCTTAACTTTCCAGTGCAGAAAATGATTCTATGGAGTGAAAGGGCCGTTCCTTGAGAAGCGTCCTGTGTGAAAGGGATAACTGAATTTTGAGATATGCTATCAAAAATGGCTTTCTTGTCTGTCCAATTGTGTCCAATGATAAGTGGGAGAAAACCGGAGCGGGAAGCATATTTCTATATGAACGTTATCAAGCTTTAATTTAACCACAGCTGTTCTATCTCCGCGGCTTGATCTCTTGCATATGTCAACTGCGAAATAAAATTCTCCTCTAATTAGAGATCGCATTTGTCTGCATTGTGTACAGTGAGATCAGCTGAATCTTGCATGTTGTGAGCTGAACTCGGTAGGTCTGCGCAGTTTCGATCAACCAATTATCCAATCAGAATTATCTTCATTGTGAAACTGCTTGTATAGGTACTGGAAAGAATCAATACAAAACCAGAGCCGGTCCGGTTTTGCTAGTATAGAAACTTTTGAAGCAACGCCAAAGACTAGGAACGCATGAATTCGAAGAAAGTGATTAGTTAACTATTCATAGCTAACCCGAAATAAGAGAACGAGGGCGAGAGAACATGGTTGCAAGTCTTCAGTCTTGTACACAGGCTGACATTAGCTAGGCCTCGAGCTAAGAATTTCCAGTGTAACTGTGATATCGATGTGCATAACCCTACCAAGACCGGAAACGCGACATAATTCAATACTTTTCGTACGATGCCTACTCCCTAGCCTTTAATATCACTTAAAAATTATCCAAAACCTCTAATGAGTTTATTAATCAGAACAGACTTTTAACCCTGTTGCTCGAATGTGCACATCAAACACAGTCTTGTCATAGAACATCGCTTTTATGGTTGTGCCGTTTGATTCGCCCAATTCCAAAACGATCCTGTCAGTATTTCAAAATTTTGAGTATCCATAAACCAGATAGAACGCGAAGAAAGTAATAACTATCAGAATCAACAACATAGTGATTGTGCCATTTTCTGTTAGCCCATCCAAAACAGCTAATTAATTAAGACCGAACGAAGACGAAGTTGGTAACAGATATGTTGGAAACCGAATTGCATCCTTGTAAAACTCCGAGTAAGTCAGTCCCTGACGAAGAGTTTAAGTTCACTGGTTTGTTCTCTCTGTGCTTGAGATATGGCAGCCTGGCCTGTACTTGGCGAAAGAAGTAATGTTTTGCCAGGCCTTTCAGGTTGAAGCAGTCGGATGTTAGACCAGGGAAAGGAGAATTAGATGAAATTTAGCGAATATACACTCATCTGCAAACTAATTTGGTTCTTTCGAGAGACTCACCTGGAACCCAGCTGAATCTCTCGTTTATGATTTCGTGCAATTTGATTTCACATAGAACATAAGGTTGACGGAAACCCGGGGACTGCGCCTACCTGATGAGTCCCAAGAAGGGCGAAACCGATCGTGGGCTGTCGATGGATTTTCAGCAACCTTATGAGTAGTACACTACAAATATAAATAAAAAAATTTATTTCACAGTGATGAACTTTCAGCTAAAAGGGGAGGTTTGTGGAATGCTGCTTATATCGGTACGTAAATATTTATTGGGTGCATTTAGATACATCACGTAGTGAACTTTGTCAGAGAACGATAAGTTGATCCCGGGTGTACTCAGGTTGAGGCGAAGAAAGTGAGATGAGAGTTTTGGTTTGGTGTCTGCAAACGTTTGGTCGATTCTGGTGTCAGTTGACGTCGGCAACTAAAAATATAATGGGCGGTAAACCTATCATTCAGAGTCGTCAGCTAATACGATAATAGACGAATTGATAAGGTTGTACAACCAGAAACTGGTCCATCCGATAGCTCATTGAGTACGCTCGAAAAGCCCTGATCCGATTTTGGATTGTAAATGGGAATTACTTGCTATAAGTTCAAGCATCTTGGACGAGTATGGGGACAAAATGAGTTGGCAGAGAAAATTTTGCCAAACAGAGCGAATTTTCAAACTTTGTTGCATCATTCAAGCAGACACGTTTGAAAGAAGGGCGTTTCATAAGACGTGAAAAACAACTGGCAATTACCCACGACTTTTAAATCTGTGTAGATTATTGACTTACAGAATAAACTGAACCTCATCAGTCATATGAAAATTCGCTCTTATTTTGAGATGACCTGCAGCGAAGTTATGTGAAAAACCACCAGCGCACAACCTCAGCCTTACATACTGAGTCGTAATTCGTTATAAAGAAATATTCAGTACACTAGTAATACGATACCATGAACGATGTGAGGTTCCTGAGACTGCGGAGGCTCGCGTTCTCGAACCTCATTTTTTTCGGCCATTCACCCGATGTTCATGAGATCAGTTTTTCCACGGGCACTTAATGATTTTTTTATGATAATGCTATTTGTGTTGGGAGCACAAACAAAATGTCACTCATTCGACCTGGTAAATTTAGCAAATTTCTCTGTCGTACGTCGGTAGCTTACCTTGCACAGGTTTGATTACAACCATGCAACAAACATACGAGAAGGATGTAGGAACGCAACGGCCGAATGAACGAGAAATTCATGTGGTTTGTGTAAACACTGAAATTTTCAACATTGTCTAGACAAAAAATCGATGCTTGTCGGTAATGCAGCTTTTATTTTAGAAGGGCTTACTAAACAAACTTTTCCCGACACAGGATTTGCTTTACTACACACCCAGTCTGATGGATCCTCCTAACTGCACCTCATGGTCAGTGTCAGATGTTGCATTTTTGGCACACAGAATGATGAGTAACACTCGGTAACTCGGTGTGTCCCGCAGATAAAGTGGAGCTCGTACTGATAACCTTCAGTGCCTGTTGTGAGTTTGATAGTGTCAACTCTGAACTTTACTTTGTTCATAAGATGGTGAAAATTACAATTAAATACCCTGTACAGGGGGGAACGGAGATATACCGGTCGCTAGGTCGTACATGACTCGCTTGATTCCAAACCCATTGACCCGTGTCCTCTCACCCATCTATGTTTTAAAGAGAATGTGTCTACTACGTTTGCATGTGGTTTTTTACTACAAATATTCAGAGTGTACTAACGAGCAGGACCTATCACAGAAAACGAGCTTCGATCGCTTACATCTTCTCTTCCCATGGCTTCCACGGGTATCTCCAGTGGATTCTGGGTCTCCCTAAATTGAACGTCCAGGCCATTTGGTGAACCCGAGCTAAAAGATACAAGTTTGTCGCCTAAAGTAACCCACCCGTAGAATTCGTATTCATGATATTCAAAGTCTGACTTTGCCAGGTGCGGGAACCTTCATTTGTTTACATCAAACCACTTCTTACCAATCGGTTTCAAGCTTCGCACTGCTCACCTACCCATCCATTGGACTGCAGCATACCAGAGATATCTTCACAGTTGATTCATTCCTTTACTTTGTACTGTTAATCAGCTCCAAGAATGATAGCATTTAGCAGTTTGCCACATTGTACAGACTGTCGTGCAGTTCAGTCGCATGTCTCAGTCAAACTGAAGTGTGGTAGGAGGACCAATCAACGGATCATGCTAAAGTAGTTCTCTCAAACACGACGCAACTTGCATTGCGTTATATCTGCTGATTCGTCAATCTGTGGTATCTGCTGCTGACCCGCTCCAGTGCCTAATGCCGGAGAAAAATGACTCACAGAAGGGAACACAACCGCTATCTTCCGAACAAACGAGTGCGAGAGCAAAAGTCACAACGGCCCCACGTTATTTAAAGGGGAGTTTCTGACACTGATCCAGGCTGTCTGATAGGCGTTAATAAACACTCATCAACATCGATCGTGCCTCTAAGAAAATCGTGAACGCTGGTCACATTCGGTCGCTCTTTGGCGTGCAAGAACACTAATCAGGTTTTGCTGAATTGATTGAATGATTGACTGGACTGGATGCTTGCCGGTTTTCTTATTGAGTTCCTGATGGAGCAGTAGGTTCCGGATGTTCTGAGGTTGCTTTCAGGAATCTGACCTTCCTGATACATTGCTTAAACTGTAAGTAATTGACTAGAATGGTGCGCAAAAGTTGACCGCCTTTGGTGTGGTCCCAGGACAAACGTGTTATCTAATGAATGTTGTTTTCCTTCATAGAAAAATGGCACTTCCATAAGTTTACTACTATTGGAGGACCCCCAAAGTGACAGAAATGATGAACACTGAAGCCACCATCAAGCAGTGTTTTTTCAAAATACTCTGCTCGTGAGTACTGCATTTCAATTACAGTAGACTCCTAATGTGGCTATCATTCATTATTCTCCACTCAGTTCAACAATGTTGGGCTTCCACCCGATGTAGTTTGGTGGTGTGATAAAGATTTTCCGTCACGACGTTTTTGTTGTTTCCCTTAGACTTCATTCAAAGTGGGTCATCGCCCCCTTTCGAAGGTTCAGTTGAGATAATCCCGGTGGCACATTAACCACGCGCGAATCGTCTCCCCTTCAACGATCAATAATATTTTTCCATTTATGACTGCGTTGACTTATCAGTTTTAAGGATCTGACTATTTCGTTGCGTCATCTAAGAGGCGTGACTTTCGTGCGCATCGCATAATTTGTCGGAATGAAGCACGTTTCACCATTTGGGAAAACAAAGCTATTCACCGTATTTGAATGTTATGGCAATTAATCAAGCTTTTGTCGAGTGCCTGAATTAAGTTCCGGTCAGATCGGCCACTTTTAATGAATGTCTGCCACTGAACTGCCTAAATTAACAGTTTAGCCTTGGATCACTCAGCCTGGTCGAATGATGTGTGCCACTGAAGGTACAGGTAAATTTGTCTTACATTCTACTTACTTCAACTTAGCGCATTTTAATCAGATCACTTCGGTACTGTGAAACAATGAATCGATCAGCCATTTTCATTTTTATAGTGCTATTCGAGAGTGCCTTCATTGTTCTAACGGTAGGATAGGAATGGCAAGCCCTCTTTTCGCCGAAATTGGTTTATTCAGGTGCAGTTAAACAGCACAACTGATTACTTTGTTGCATTTAGAAACGTTTACACGCTCGAGAATTGGTTAACCATCCATGTAAACCAGGTAAACTCACTATCGTTCCCGCATTTTGCAGACGGGATTGCCGCAATTAGATTTTGTAATATCTTATTATAAGAAAGCTGTTGAAGACAAGTAAAAATACAGTATTCATAATTCATCTTAAAATAGATTTCTCAGAAGCCGATGAAATAATGGACGTCTGGAATTTCTTATCTTAAATTATTAGTTCTCTTGAGCACGGAAAGATGTTTTAGTAACTTGACATGTATTTTTTCAATAGTCAGTAATTAAAAATAGCTAAGCTTCATTTGCGTTCTACAACCCCCACTGCAGATGGCAAGCTTACGATTCGTAATTCAGCTCTCTGTCTGGTCGCATGGGCCACAGACTGAAGTCATACCATCCCGCCTTACAGATTAAGCGAAGAAAAACGGTCAGATTGCAGAATTATAAGTTATCAAGTCCTAACTCAGTTGTGTCTGGTTTAGAGTAGGGCACTGTTTAACTTTTACTCTGTCGGTGGTATAGCCCACGAAGTGAACGCACGAATCTCGAAGCCGGAATTGCTTTTACCGGTTAACGCCAGTTCTGCGAACAAAGAGGTCCCAAATGAGGCGTATATCACACTGCATTGCGGTCTTCATTGATGCATGGCTACGCGACTTGGCCATTTCAAGCGAATGATACAGTCGGAACTTTGAAAACCGTTGTTTAAAAACGATAGGTGGAATCGGATGCTAACAGCGAGTTAACACTGTGGTGACTTAGCGGCTGAATTTTGGTGAAGCAAATGGCGCTTTGTCCAGAGAATGCCTCCGGAGTTGCAACGTGAGATGACGGGTTCATGTGTTTCGAGTTACCACCCACCAAATTCAGCATTGTTTTTTGTGCTTAGTTCAGAGTGGTGAAAGCCCAGAGGTGGAAAAATAGACACAGCGGACGAGAATAAAGCATGTTACAAAACTTTTGGGTGCTGTTGATACTGTTCGCCTTTCAGGAAGAATTTCCCGCAGCTCTCTTTGTTTGACTGGAAATGCCTAGTCATAAGGTGTCTAACGATATCAGTCAGTCTGTCAATATCCTTCCCGGTTAGATGAGTGACGGAGCTGCAAGTAAAATGAAAACTGCTCTTAGTCTCCCTTCTTGTCTCACTTTTTATTCTTTCCACCATCACGATTTGTTCAAAATAATTGACACAACTGTACGGCAGTGAAACACCAGTGACCTTCAGTGATGATATGGCGACGGTTACTTTTCAAATCTGACGCTAACGCAATCAAAAGCTTGCGCAACCTACTGGCACAAAACAGCAAACCACACAAACGAGCTGGTAGGTGTTCTGGAAAATATTCTCGGCTCATATGGCAGTTTACATTTAGTTGGTTTAACAAAAACTCTGGGAAAGATTTTAGAAACCCCCAGGTGAGCATTATTCATATATTTCTAATTGATTTTCACTTTTCGCTTGATGATGTGACCATACAGT